TCATTAAAAAAAAAAAAAAAAGAAAAAAAACAACCAATTTAAGCTTCAGCGTCAAAGATCAAGAAAAACAAACTCTTCAATTGCAGGTACATCCCCAATTCTCTTGAGTGTATCCTTATTCGGCTCCTCATCGACCCCAATTGCCATAATCGCCCGAGTCCTCTTCACAGTCCTCCCCACACTCATAAAACTCACATTCACATTACTTTCCCCAAGAATCTGCCCGACCTGCCCAATCATTCCAGGCTGGTCCACCTGATGGCAAAGTATCAGATTCCCTTCCAAGCTCACGTCCACACTAAAAGACCCGACCCGAGTCAAATGGGGCGACCCGTACTTCACTTTCCCCTCGATGCTAATGTTCCCGTTTTCTATAACTGCGCTCGCGAATTTAGAGTTTACGTTGCTTATCTGGACTTGAATGGACTCGACTGGGTTTTCGGAGGAAGAATTTGTGAAGACCCTTTCTTCGCTAATGCGGAGGCCTTTCTGCTTGGCCGTGAAGTCGGCATTGACGAGGTTTATGTGGGCATCAGATATGGGCTCGATTATGCCTTTAGTTATCATGGCTCTCAGGAGTCTCGTGTCAAGGTTGTCCGGTTCTCGGCCAGAATTGTAAGTCACCTTCACGGATTGGATCCCACCGCCTCCAACGGCCACTAATTGTACTGCCAGTCGGCCGAGCTTCTCTGCTAGAGTGACGTATGGAGCCAATTCGGACAAAACCTGGTCAAAAGAAACTCATATAGTTAGTTAGTTATGAGAGAGAGAGAGAGAGAGAGAGAGCATGCAAGTACAAGTAGGCTTGTAAACAAAGCGATTTTTTTTTATTCCATTCGATATTCGTGATTTGAATTCGAAATATTCAAATTCGAATTCGAGTGCGAATAATGTTTTATATTTGAAAGTTAAACGAATCCGAATCCAAATTTGTAGACATTCGATTCGAAATTATTGAATATTCGATTCGTTAATGATAATCATATAAATTTTATAAATTATATATAGTATACATTTTGTTTATAATATATATAGTGTTATATTCCTAATATTTTTATGGCATAAAAAGTAAAAACGTCCCAAAATCAACAATTTTAAAAACATCTCAAATTGGATAGGAAAATCATAAACAATGTTTTTGTAAATATAACTTTTTTAATAATAAAACGAATTTTGAATCGAATATGTTCGAATATTCTAAACGAATCGAATACGAACCAAAAAATGAGTTCGTTTACAAATCGAATACGAATTCGAATCCTCGAATATTTTAACGAATCCGAATCGAATATCTTAGTATTCGCTTTGATTCAATTCATTTACAACCCTAAGTACAAGTGAATTAGCAGTGTTTACCTCGGGTGGGACCATGGGGGCATTGACTGCAGTGGCTGAAAGTTCTCCTCTCAGTGCACCAACAACGGCCTCGGCTATTTCAACTGCAACTCCTTCCTGAAATGGCGGACAAAAAAGAAATGAGAAAAGAAAAGAAGAGGTAAAAGAAGTCTGAGTTTGTTCAATCAAAGAATGCCACTCTTTTGTATAAGCAAATTTCACACCTGGGCTTCCTTGGTGCTTGCTCCAAGATGAGGTGTGACTGTGACATTCTCATGCTGTACTAATTTGCTATCTTTGTACGGGGGCTCCTCTGTGAACACGTCTAGGGCTGCCTACAAAACATTAGGATGCATAAATTACTGGATTCTGCTGAGCAATACAAGATTGGAATGCGTTACGAATGAAAATTTGTTTTTTTTTTTTAATGTACTTTAAATTGTGGGCAAGACAATGAAAGCAGCCACAATAAATATTTAGAAGATACTGAATTATAGAAAAAGTTCCAGGTATTACCCATAATCTTTAGTTAGATTAAAAAAGACTCCATTTATATTCCAAAATGTCAAAGTACTCCTTGATGTTTGAATTTATCCAACCCTCATAAGGATACACCTTGTAGAAAGAAAACATATACTGAGTTGTAGCCTTTCTAATTAACACTATTATATCGAAGATGACTCCACAAAGTAGAATTTCAACCGCAAATTCATCAGAATACTTCTTCAGTTACAAGAGAATGCACAAAGAGCAGTGTACCTGGGCAACTATTCCACTGTCGAGGGCCCTCACTAAAGCATCTTCATCTATAACACCACCACGCGCAACATTAATGATACGCACTCCCTTTTTCATCTTAGAAAATGTAGTATCGTTAAATATCTTGTTAGTTGTAGGGGTGAGAGGCATATGGAGAGAAACAAAATCTGCAGTTGAAATAGCTTCATCAAACGACACTAATTCCACACCAATTGCATGGGCTCTATCAGCCGGGGCATATGGATCATGGGCAATCACAGTCATTCCAAGTCCTTTTGCACGTCTTGCAACTTCAGAACCAACTTTCCCAAATCCCATTACTGCTAAAGTCTTCCCAACAAGAGAAACACCAACATATTTATTACGCTGCCATTTTCCTGCCAAGAGCAAATAAAAGGTAAAAGATAACAACAAATCCAAGTGCATTGGATATATAGTACAGAATCATACATCAATCAAACCCACATTCCTCTAAAACATGACAATGTTCTAATTCATTTTACCCAGAGCATAACAGAAGACCTACCGAAGGAAAAAACACACAGGAAAATTAGCTCTAAATTCATTTTTTATTTTTTTCACTCCTTTACCGAAAATAGCAAAAATTGAACGCATAAAGCTTCAAAACAGGACAACCAATCAACCATACCAGCTTTCATGGACGCATCAGCCTGCGCAACATTTCGCGCCATGGACGCAAGCAAAGCAATCCCGTGCTCGGCGGCGGCAATTGTGTTCGCTGTCGGGGCGTTCACCACCAAGCACCCGAACTCGGTGGCCGCCTGCAGATCCACATTATCAATCCCGACGCCGGCGCGTCCCACCACCTTGAGCTTCCGCCTAGCCGCCTCAAAAACCCGGCGTGTCACCTTCGTCCCGCTCCGCACAATCAACGCGTCGCACTCCCCGATCTTCGCGCACAGGTCCTCCGGCGACAGGTCGTACAGGCACTCGACATTCCCGAACGAGCGGAGTAAATCGAGCCCCGCCTCCCCGAGCTTCTCGGAGACCAAAATGGTCGGCCTCGCCGATTGGGACCCCGGATCTGAACCTTCCCGGGCGTCGGGGGCCAATTCCGAGGTTTGCTCTGTTTTGAGGACGCTGGGAACCGTGGCGGCGCGTGAGACGCTGAAATTAGGGGCGAGAGTCAGCTTCGGGAGGGGGATGGAGGGATTGGAGAAGGGGAGGCGCGTGGGGAAAGGATTTGAGGTTTGCTTGTGGGATGGTGGCGTTTGGTTGTTGAGCTTAGTTGCAGAGGAAATGGAAACGGCAGCCATTTTCTTGTTTCGTTTTTTTTCCCCTTTGTGGCTTTGTGTAAAAGGTGTTGAAAAGTTTCAACTTTGAATTGAGGAACAAAATATATAATTATATATTTGATGTCTGTCCGCATAGATCTACGTCAAATGGGTCCAAATTCAAATATACACCAAACGAATTTGTATAAGTAATTAGTAAAGTTTTGNATTAGTAAAGTTTTGTACACATTTCTCGGGAAAGAAAAAAGGAAAATATAATATAATTATTTGTAATATAATGTATGTGCGTGGAATATTTAGGGCTTGATTGGTTGGGGTGATTGATTGGACTTGATGTAATCAAGTAAGGCGGGCCCCAGGTGATAATTTGTATCTTGTAAATTGTTTGGTTTGTGTATTAGGTGGTTTGATAAAGGCCTCATTATGTTATTAACTCATTCGGTTGGCATCTAATGACCACTTTCAACATTTGTAAACAAAAAAAATATCCTTACATTTCTAATGTTACCCTTGGCCCAAAAAAATACAACGATTAAAAAAAAGTGAGATCAGATCTGAATTACAAACCCTTCTCCTCCGACCCTTCTTCGTCGACTCTTTCTCTTCAGCGTTCCTTGGATACCCAACACTGTGCGTTGTACATTTTGCAAGGAAGGGCAGACAATACCCACGATTCTTTTTCGTCTCATCCGACGATTGACGGGAGAGAAGTCCGTGCACCAACCAAGTCCCATTCAGGTGAGCTTACCTATGTTCAATTGTTGATTTCAGTCCACTCTATTGTGTATTCATGATTTGTTACCTTTTTAATTCTCAAAGTTCTAAATGTTGGACCTTGTAAATTCGTATGCAAACGTAAGCATAGATCGTTTTGTATTACTGCCTAAGAACGTCGCTTTCCTTCTAATTGATTTTTCTGATTTATGTTGTTTGGACTGTTGTGAATGCAACGAATGCAAAGTGTTTGACTCATTGTTTGAAAGATGGAGCTACTGCTAAAAAGCCCCATTTTGTGGGTTTTATGTATTCTTTGTCTGTGTAATTACAATTTCAGTGTGCACTGAAAATAACTGTTGAATTGAACTCGATGAAATTTTGGGACTTTTCAGCACTCAAATTTTGGGACTTCCTTGGTTTAGGGTTTAGGGAGACTTTGAGAATGGCTGCCAACAAACCTCCGACGCGCAACGAGGTCATTTCAAAATTGTTCAGAACAGACGGTTGGAATGAGGAAGAGGAGGGATTCTTATTTGAACAGCTCCAACATGCAGCTTATAATGTATGTGTCAGCAACATTGGGGTGTTTGACACGTATCTTTGGCTAATAACAGGAAACTTAATTGATAAATTCAAGAAAAATTTCACGATTCCCATGGTGAAAGAAAGAGTTCAGAAATTTAAAGATCAATATAACTTGTTCGTGGAGTGGAAACAACACCCTGGTGTCTATCACAAGGCAGACGAAGATAGAGCATATGTGGACGGACTCTACGGGAAAACAATTACGAAGGTGAAGTATTTTTGGCGTTGTTGAGACTTTTCTTATTACAGATAGATTCATTTGTTATTGGTCTTTAATGTTCTTTGTGCTGTGTTTTGCAGGAGAGCAAAGAAAGTAGATTTTTCAGAACCTACGGCATGAAACACTTTGCACAAGCGCACCTATTGTTCCATGTGAAGAATGCTGCGCCGATTGTGTTTACACTGAAGACGCCGAAGTTTAAAATCAAAAGGAAGATGTTTCTCAGAGAAACACCTAGTTATTACTCCTAGATTTGTGTTTTCTCTTTTGTTTTTGAAATTCATTCCAAAGAAGAATGGACATGAAATGTAGTAGTTAAGGTCGGTGATATGCATGCTTTTTAATAGGGGGTCTCATGTACAAACTTTTAGTTGGATATTCATGATAATGGTAACTTTTGGTTTTGAAATCATGTTTTGTGGAATGTTTCCCCTGGTGTTACTTTGTCTTTATTTTTTGGGGGGGTTTTAATGCATTGCATTGTCTGTACTATGTCTGATGGAGTTTGAAGGTTTACAGAATGTGAAAAGGGAAACCCATTGTCTATATGGTTGTTTGTTTATTTTTTTTCCTTCAAACGTAGCATTTCAAAGTCTATGAAACCAACTAACAACCATAGCAAAGCAACGAAGCCTTCAGTTATAACACCAAAATAAGCACTCCAACACCTACCAAACCACATGAGTGAAAAGCCAGAAGTGAGACTAAACCCAAACACACAAGCACACTTAACAACATTCTTGTTATTACATATCATTAAATATGCAAAAGCCAAAAAACAGAAAGTACGACTAAAACCAAACACACAAGCACACACTTAACACCATTGTTGTTATTACTTTCCCCGATATGCAATGACGAAAGTTGCTGTTGAAGGTCGTTATGTTTGGCTCGTAATTCATTCAGTTTCATTCTCTTCTTTTTTAGTTTTTCCATTACACCTTGCATCATCTCGTCCTTGTTTCTCATTTGCTCCTCCAACAAGGATTTTTCACGCTTAAGCTTCAAATAACAATTTTTCTGAAATGGTGACATCTCTTCATCAAACCATTGGAAAAATTTACAATCATCTACCTACAAGAAAAAAAAATAAAATACAATATTGATATGGACTATAACCAAGAACACGATTTGTCGTACTCAAGAGGCTTACGTATGGGTTTTTGCATCGGTAATAGCGCCTACATGGGTTTTTATCGGTGTTGGACGTCAGCAATTCCGCCTCCTCTAAATGGCCACACTTCGGTTTCCATCCTTCGAAAGCAGTGTTGCTCCGCGAAGAATTTTCAATGCCGTGGTTCGTTGTTGAGCCCTGAGACATGTCCTAATACGAGAGAGCTGCTCACAAACCCGAACATATTAGGTGATATGTATTGTCCATACCTTTTATTATAATAGAACCTGTGAATCTCGCCTCCTCTAATTTGAACAAGTTGATGGTGTTGTCAATCCACTAGATTCGTATCCCACTTTTCTACCGTCTTGTTAACCTAAAAAAAGGGGAAAAGCATGATGCTTTGTACTTTGCAGAGAATATATTCCCACACATCAAATAGGACAACCAATAACAATTTCCTTTTGGAATCTTATATCATATCATACAGAGAATCTTGACAGCCCCTAATAACGTCCACAAAGCATTCGGTTTTTTTCTTATAAAGGGTGAAAAGCGTAACTTAACAATCTAGCCACAAACCATAAAAAGTACAAATCGAAAAAGACTAAAAAAAGATGTTTTCCTCCCTTCGTGGAAAACGTAGCAGTAACAAGGGACCCAAGGGTGCAATGGGTCAGTCCAAAGTGTTTTATACTGAGAAGTGGACAAAGTCCGTTGGCACCACGTTCATCCAGTACCTTGTCGAGCAAAAGAGGGAAGACAACTTCGATTCCAAACAACAAAACTTTCACGCCATCTTTTCTGCCCTCACTGATCTTAACAGTGCCATGGGAACAAACTTCACCTACTCAGATGCTGTTGATCGCGTGAAGAAGCTGCGCAAGCGTTACAATGTATTCCACTGGATGATCCACCTCTCTGGCGTGGTGTACAACCCATTTAATCACTCTATTTCTGCTTCCCAAGACCTTTGGGAATATATTGTCCGGGTATTTTGTTTAAATGGCTTTGTTCATCATGCATGTTATTTTGTATATTAATCTTTTCTAGTAAGTTTATTTACTCATTTATCAATGAATTGGTAGAAGGAGAAGCTTGCAATGGCCTACATGAGAGAAGGCGAAAGTGCTTACGATTGTCTCAAAGCTTTGTTCCACGAGGGTGACGACACCATTAGCGATGACTTTGTCCATAAAGTTATCAACTTGAGCGACTTGCTAACACAAGATGATGGACCAGATGATAACGATGATGTTGTAGTAATTCACAATGAGCAGGCCGCAAACGGCGACGACAATGTTCATGATGCGAGGGATGGATGGGAAATCGTTCATGAAAATGACTCCACCAACACCAACAACTCATTTTGGAATGAGGTAGCTTGGTACGGCTCGGAGAGTATCAGTGTGACCTCGGCTCCTGATCCAGAAAACCCGCCATCCATTTTGTCGTCCACCAAAGAGATAATGAGTAAGATGAACAAGCATTGGGCCACATACAATTACTCAAGTAAGCCAACTGACTGGGAGAACATACGCTCATCCGTAGCTTCCAGCTCTACCCCTAACAAGTGATGAGAGTAATTTCAAATGTCTTTTGTATTCATGCTTCACTCTTGTAGGGTCCATGAGCCACGCTCCCCTAACAAGTTAGGTCGTTATTCCATGCATTCTGTGTCGAGTCGGTACAACTGTACAAGTATCGAATGTTTCTTTGTAGTGTCGTTGTTGTTCTGCTTTGTTGAAATCTTTGTTCTCTTATGTTGTGTTCTGTGGATTATGATTTAAGTACTTAATAATGAAGCATGATTTTAGTGTCATCAGTTTGTGTATGTTTGCTTTGTCAATGTGTTGTGCGTGCATGTTCTTTTATAAAGTTATATCTTGCATGGGTCATGTGTTACATTGTGTTTCCCATTACAACTTGAATTAAAAGCAAAGAAGAGCCACACAACTTGAATTAATTAAGTCGATATGAGAAGTCTCCGACCACAACATTCAGAAGATTCCTACATCTTTCAATCGTCTTTTGAACTTACAAAAACGTACGCTACCAGCCAAACAAAAGGATAATGGATAATGTATCTAGCAGAATTACACTTCAATAAACAGACCACCCACGAGAAGAACAAAAAGAACATAAGCTTGTGATGGCCTAAACCGAAGCAACTGTTACAATTTTCTTAAATCTTAACCCTGAACGTGATCACATCATCCTGGTTGTGAGGTCCGACGTGTGTAAACATGCATGAAGAACCAACGACAATACCACTGTCAGTCACAAACTTACGAGCTCCACGGTATTGCAACAATTTCTTCCCATTGCCATGAATTGCATCCACTTCATAAACCTTATTATCGAAGATGAGGACCGCCGTGGTGTAGTTGTCATAGTTATCCTCGATGTGGTCTCTCCAAAACGGCATTGGAATTGGCTGCTTGTTTCATTGCAAGTTATTGGATGAATAATATATATGAAATAGTATTTATTTGAATAAACAAAAACTTCAGCTGAAGTGTAAACTTACCAAGCGAGCCCGCTCAATGTGAGATTTTTTTATGTCCAAACAAAAGTGGTGTATTGGCGGTCTCTCTAACCCTGTTTTGTCCGTCACCATAACGTTGAAACGGAACTTGCTCTTTCGTTTGAAAAACATAATGTTATGCAGTTCAATGTATTCTTCTTGAATGTAAGTATCCCATCCATCAACCAAGGTCGGGTCATTATCCACCATTTTCATCATCACTTCATACTCACTTCCTTCTCTAGTCTCGATTATACATTTCTTTGGAAGCTCGGACTCATGATATTCGCAAATTGCAGGTGGGAGAGACTAAGTAAAGTAAGTTTAAAACCGTGATGAATATAATGAACACCGAAAAACCTATTACGAATTATAATCTAACATGCTATGGTATTGAGAAAGAACCTCGTACCAGGGAGGTCATTTGTGTGTCAAGAATGATCCTAAAAAATCTTGTCCAGTCGCCAGCCATGACAGAACACCTAAGAAAAACACGTTGTATTTGTGTACAAGCCAGACAACTAATAAATAAGTTGTGAATTCAAAACAACATCTCATTCCAGTGTAGACCAAAAGTCAATTGACAACATATGTTTTTTACGCAATTTCAATCTTCGGGTAAAGTAGATTAACTTTACAGGATTGTCTATTTTTTTTCTCCAAACCAATTAATTTTATGTCACAACTTCAGAAGCAATAGTGTACATGCAAAACACGCACACTGATGAACAAACGAAATGAAAGATCAACCCTCGAAATAACAGATGTTACCAATAGTGTACATGCAAAAAACGCACAGTAACGAACAACCCACATATAATTCCCTAAAAATTAAGCAGAATACAAAATTAGGGTTATTATTAGGAAAAAAATCGAAATAGAAAAGAAAACAGGAAGAGAGTGAAAGAGTCAGATCTGACCTGAATGGAGTCTGGTGAAGAAGCGAGCGCCTGCCGCCGGTCGTGCAGATACCTCCGTGAGAGTGGGAGACGAGTATCTGAGAGGGCTGCGTGATTTGATTATTTGGTCGTCACAACTAAAACCTCATTTTATTTGTTCATAAAGCTTGATTTTAGGGCTTAATTAATAGTAGTGTTGGGCCTTGTCTACTAAAACTTGAGATTGGGTATTAATAATTGTCATTATTAAAGAGAAAGGGGCCCAAACCAAAGGCCCAAAAGAATACAGGCCGAAAACCAAGTTATGTCATATTCGTATTTCATATCCATGTCCTATTTGACTTCATATGCTCACAGTTACATGCGTATAGGTAAGTCTCATCGAAACAGGTAACTGATTTCGACAATTAAACATGTCGAAGTTTAGTAAGCAAATTTAATTGTCGAAGTTTAGTAAGCAAACATAACAAAATGACCATTATAATGCCTTAACCGAAAAAATATCCATGACAAGCAACTACATAACAAAATGACAATAGATAAGTTTGTTGCTTACGATCAAAATATGATCAAGCTATGCCCAACAAAACCAACCATGTTCAAAATATGATCAAAATAAGCAGTTTTAAATATAGGTAGCTGCAACCCACAAAAGAAAATTACACCGCATGTGAAGAAGCGGAATTGTAGCCCCTAAATATTACCAGATAGCTTCATTCGTGCAAATTCTGCTTTTGCATCGTCCGATAAGCTGAAGAATAGTTCCAAGTCCTCAGTATTTCTGACAAGCAACCTACATACCACCAACTTCTCTTGCATATTTAAGCCGAGGATTTTCCCCACTTCATAATACACCTCTTTCCGAGCAGCGGAGACATCATATTCGTAACCTATTTTCTGCGCAATCTCACGTAAACGTACCCCAGTCTCAGAGCAGAAGTTGCGGAACACGGAGGTCATATCTTCATTTGCTTGTGTGGACTTTCTTTTTGATCCTTTACTTTTCCTAGAAGAAGTAGAACCTTGTGCACGACTTTCTGATTCAGACGTCATCCAGTCAGGATCATCTCCACCCAAATCTGCTTCTGCTTCCGCTTCAACAAAATAAGGTAACACACCCGTTGCATCATGAAATGGTTGACTTGCAGCATTACCTATATCCTCCGCATGCTCCCCAGTTGCCCTGTCTTTCCCAAAGATATTTACCCAATCGGGATAATACGGCCAGCTCTTATACCTCATTAATCGAGCATTTGTCAACCTTTTTCAGAAATATATAAGTTGACATCAAAACTTGGTTGTTTCATAAAAATGTATGATAAACACATTTCATTGACACATAAATATGCTATCATACAAGAGCATACCTTTACGCATGATGCCCATGCCTCATCACTTGCTTCAACCATTTTAGTCGAGTCATTCCATCCCATGCCCGTCCTAGAGATCATGGACAGGAGGCTACTGTAATCCTTCTTCCAGACATGGATCTTGGAGTTGATGTGGGGAAGTCCTTTCAAATCAGTACCTGGTCATTTTTTAGCCAACTCTTGCTCTAAAACCTGTAGAAACCCTGTTTTGAAGCCATTTTCTGACTTCCAACCATTTGCAACAACCTCTTTCAATGCAACAATAGGAATTTCCTCCTCGTGCTTACTCCAACTTCTCCTGCCTTTGTCAGCTCTGCGCCTCTGAGTATTGCGAATGTTCTGATCTGTCCGTTCCATTTTGTTGAGCTGATGTATTCAAAAAGTAGGAAAATGAATAAAGCTATGGCATAGGGGACATTTAACTGTAAAAACCAAACAATCTCATTAACAACAAACAACCCACTCAGGTTTGAAAAAGTATATCAAGTAGAGGGAAGAACATAGTCAACAGTACAATACAAGCGTAGGCTAATTAATAATTCTAAATACATCTCCATTCATTGAACATTGACTGTGCCATTTGGTCTCGCATTTGAGACCACACTTCAGAAGTCTCCACAGTGTCAATGAAAACAGTATCAACATTGTCATCACTCCCATCGGATTCGTCTTCGTCTTCACCTACTTCCATTGGGTCAACAGTCATCTCTCTTCGGATGAAATTATGCAGCAACACACAAGCCATGATCAACCTGTTTTGTATCTTAATACTGTAAAAACTCTTACTACAGAGGATGGCCCATCTTTTCTTTAATATTCCAAAACTCCTTTCAATAACATTTCGTGCCTTAGAGTGGGTCATGTTGAAAAACTCCTCGCTCGTCTGAGGTATACCACTACCATGTCGCCATTCTTTCAAATGGTAACAGACTCCTTTATACGGTGTTAAAAATCCTTCTCCATTTGTGTATCCATTGTCACACATATCATAATACCCTGTAGCCATAGCATGTGTTAATAAAAAAAGTTTATGTGCATAAATATTACTAACAATGGTAGGGAGATTTTTATATAGTCAAATGCACACAACATAAATGAATACCTTGGGGAATCCTTAATCCATTTGGCCTACTGACAGCATCACGGAGCACCCGACAATCTGCTGCTGAACCTTCCCATCCACATAACACATATATAAAGTTTAAATTGCGATCACACACACCTAAAACATTAACCGCCACTTCAACCTTTCGATTCCTGTATCTGGGTTGGTCCACCAAATGGACAAGTACTGGTATGTGAGTACCATCCAATGCACCCAGACAACCCTATATACATGCCACAGAACACATAAGGAAAAAAAAATATTGTTATTACAATAATCGAATTTGAAGGCTTAGTTTCAAAACAAAATAAACTAACGTAATTAAAATCATTGTGTAAATAATATACAGTGTTTAGATTGTACTTAAGTAATACCTTAAACCACTTCCACCTGGGGTCGACAGAGTTTTCTTCAACTGGTTCCGGCTTCACAAGAAGTGTGTTATGCAGTCGCAGAACCGCATTTAGGACTTCATTGACATAAATACTAACCGTGTGTCCCAACCTTTTAAAATCAAACTTAACCACATGCATTTTTGTATGGTGTGCAATAACAGACAAGAAAATGCAAAAATATTGTTATTACAATAATCGAATTTGAAGGCTTAGTTTCAAAACAAAATAAACTAACGTAATTAAAATCATTGTGTAAATAATATACAGTGTTTAGATTGTACTTAAGTAATACCTTAAACCACTTCCACCTGGGGTCGACAGAGTTTTCTTCAACTGGTTCCGGCTTCACAAGAAGTGTGTTATGCAGTCGCAGAACCGCATTTAGGACTTCATTGACATAAATACTAACCGTGTGTCCCAACCTTTTAAAATCAAACTTAACCACATGCATTTTTGTATGGTGTGCAATAACAGACAAGAAAATAGCAACCTTTTCTGAAACGGACACGTATTTTGAATCCTTGAGACCAACACCATGTCTTAACAAATAACATAATCTATTGAACACATCGCAGGTCATTCGTAAGTTGTTCAAACAATCAGAATCACTGAGTCCAACCAAAGCGGTGAGGTGATCTACTTGTCTCGGTATTCTCTCAGCCATCACGTATCTTACATTATTTCTTATCTGCTCCCTAACACTACTACAAATATCTCCAATATGTGTAGTAACAATGGCTATTACTACACAAATTTGAAGCATTATCTCTTCAATTAGTAAAAAAATTTCTGCCCTGCGCCTTGAAATCCCTGGCATTATGTTTGATTGGGAAACTGCAATTATTCAAATTTAAATACAGCATAAAAATTTTCGTTCTACGTTCTTCTACATTGTTGTAGCAAATTACAGTATAGACAACAAAACATGTTGTATAGAGATCAAAAAAATATCTAAAAAAATGCAAGCAATTGGAGTAATAATCAGCGATATGAAAAAGTCCAGACAAATAGCACACAAAAACGAAGGAAATGAAACATATTATTCGAACAAAATGGACATAGAACCAATACGTACACTTTACCCTGGGAAGTAACCCGACACCAACGAGACGTCAATTATCGGCTTCAGTAAGTGCTGGTTCAAAAATTGGGCGAAAGGTACCGAAAGTCAGCGAAATTCAACGAAGTGAAATCGGAAAGACGACACACAGTAACACAAACATGAGATCTATCAAAAAACGAACTGTCATTCAACGATTTATCGAAAAAAAATAGCAAACGTTCAGCTCGCGTACCTTCGCGTCGTGGAGGAGCAGCGGAGCTGAGGGTTTGTAGAGATATAAATGGCAGAGCTCATATCGGTTTCTAGGTTTTGATTTTTTATATGAGGGCAATGTAGTCTTTCTGCCAACCAAGGCTTTTTCATGGGAAATTGTATCCTGCCAACCCCATGTGATGTGTTATACCAAATTGTTTTATATCTGAAACCGGGCCTCGTCAATTTCAAGGGCCACAGGTAGTTGAACCAAATACATTAAAAGCACTTAATGCTTAAGAAATTGAGTGATATCCCTCCTTATCACTCCAACCAATCACACCCTTAGGATAAATGGTTCTACAAAGTAGGACAAAAAAGTGGAGTGATGTGTTTGAAGATGCATGTGTAGTATTTCCTAGTGCTAAAAGACATAAGTAACTAGCTATTAAAAACTATTTCCATAAAACAAGATCATTTGAGAGAATTCCAAATATAGTCCAATTCATTCGAAAAGAAGACAAAATAAAAACTAAATACTAACTGCTAAATGAGAAGTTACAACCAATCAATTAAAAGTTAAACTAATAAGGGTGATTGGATATGAATTCAACTAGTAAAAAACTGGTTATTTTTTAACTATAGTTAAGTTTGAAAAAAGGTGGTATGGTTAGTTGTTAGTGGATATATTAAAATAATATTTAAAATAAAATAATTAAAGTTGATTTGATGTAAAAATATGAGAAAATGATTGGAAGTGATAGTTAAAATTATGTGAGTAGATGAATAGTGAATAAAAGTTGATGTGATGTATAAGAATGATTGGTTGATATTATTTAATTATATTAATAATATTGGAGATAGTGGAGTTGAGTTAAAGTTGAGTTAAATTTGAGTTTTAATTAGTTTTTTTACTGTACAAATGGTATACAATCGCCCCCTAA